ATCCATCCATCCACCCATCCATTTGCCTGTCCATCCATGCCTCTCTTCATCCATGCCTCTGTTCATCCATGCATCTGTCCATCAATCTACTTTCGTTCATCCATCCATCCATATAATTATACAGACATACTATTAACATTGGGAACTTGTACTTTTCAGATACACACAGAATACAGTGCACTGCGGTCTATTGTTGTCACCAACTATGAAGAAACCATCAAGATGCCCCTCAATGAACCAGCTCCAGGAAAAAGAAAAAGTCAAATCCAGGTTTGTATCATGTTTTCACAGCAGATTATAATATAATTGCTATAGATTTCACTAAACAGCACAGGTACACACTTTCTGTTTATCAAGGATCAAAAGGAATACAAAGAATTAGTAGACTCTTTTATAGACACCTGGGGGTTGGGAGAGACCCCTTCTATGCATTTATTTGATAATGATCTTTTTCATTTGGTTTCTAGGAATATATAGACTATTATGGAAGTGCAGGAGTTCAGCATATAGCATTGAACACATCAGACATCATAACAACAGTAAGCTGATCTAATCTTGCATCTGATTGGCTTGGAACATTCAACAAATCCTCTGATAGCATGAGAACTTGACATGATACATGTTTGTTTTTTATTAATCTAATATTTATTTTATTACAGGACAATTTACAACAAATACAAAAAATAAAACAGTTACAATATAAATAGATATAAATAGCAAGAAATTTAGTTTTAGTTTGACATGATACATGTATTATCTGTAGGTTTGTCTGCAAATAACTCATGTATACATGTCATTTGTTATGGCACAGCTGGCTACAATAATACTGACTGGTGCTACTGCTATACAACCCATGGTTCTTTAAAATTAAGTTAACTCTTTTGTAGGTGACCAATTTGAAGGAACGTGGGATGGTCTTCTTGTCTATTCCTGACAAGTACTATGATAACCTGAGAGAAAGGCTCAAGACAGCAAACATAACAGTCAAACAGTCCTTGGATGTGGTGAGTTTCATATAGTTTGATAATGTTGACAGTCATTCATTTGTTCTTTCACCTTATATGTTTGTTCATTTGTTCATTTGTTTGTTCATTCCTTCGTTTCTTCATTCATTCATTTGTTCTTTCATTTATATGTTCATTCATTCCTTCATTAATTTGCTGGTTCATTTGCTCATTTATTTCAACCATCCACCTATCTGCCATCCACAAATCTAAAAATCTCATCTCATCTGTCCATTCCTTCATTTCTTTCTTTGTTTTCTCATTTTTATTTCATTTGTTTTCATTCTTTTCAGCTTCAGCAACTAAAAATCCTGGTAGACTTTGATGAACATGGCTACCTGTTACAGATCTTTACAAAACCAGTACAAGACAGACCAACTTTGTTCCTTGAAGTGATAGAGAGACACAACCATACAGTATGTAGTATTGCTTGTAGTCTATGACCATTCTATCCTGTTTTATATGTTCACACTCACTTATAGAGGGATTCTACTGTTTGTATAGCTATCTGTTAATAGCTCCAAAATATATAGGAGGAAATTATGGAAAGCCTCTGTCCAGAAAGGCTAAAAAATGTTCTAAACTTCCCCCCGTAAGCTATTTTCATGTATGATAGTGTCATTTAACTACCATTACCTTTATTACTCAAATTTGTATTTCCTCATTAAAACAATTGCTGCTAATGGAGGGAAAAAAAGAAAGTGTGCAAGGGATTCTGGTAATCGTAGTAAATGATGCTATATGTTGCAAATAGCGTATTGTCCACCCTCTCTTCTGCCAATCTCTAGCTAGCCCCTAAGGGACCATTAATTATTCTATCAGAGAAAGAGGAGGTGGGTAAAAAGAGTGGAATCTGACATTTTTCAACTTGTTGGGGGGGGGAGGGGGCGGGGACAAGAAGATTTTTCATAAGAGGATGGGCACTTTTGCATTGAATTTTTTGAAGATTGATAGGGGTCTTTAAGTCGAGAGCTAAATGCAAGTGGAGCAATTTACACCTTTTAAAAAAATTATAACTTTACCCAATTTCTCACCCACCCTCTCCCCCACAAATCATGTATTTTAGGCACCTAAGACTAATATACATTTACATTTTTCTAGGGTTTTGGAGTTGGGAATTTCAAAGCTCTTTTTGAATCCATTGAAGCTGACCAAAGGCAACGTGGGAATTAATAGAAGCAAAACATTAAATCTATAGAACACACCACAGGTAGCATCCTCCAGGATTCAAAAATAGAATTTAATGATCTCATAAGATAATCTAAGGTTAGGATAAAAATGGAGTTAGGCAGAACACAAACGTTGAACTATACATGAACCAACCCTAATGACATAAAAGAAGACCACCGTCTTATCCATCGTTTTCAACGCATATGGCTCATGTGAAGTTTCACGTTTCATAAGTAGATTTTTAAAGGGTTTTAACTCTCTAAGAGGTTAAACATGGCTAATTTTTCTTGGACCGCTACACCCCTTAAACTCTTCTAAAACTAATATAAATGTGTGTCCTTTGAGTGTGATTGACATATATTGTCTATTCATTTCACTGTAAGCATAGCTTTAACATATACCTATAACCAGTTTGCTATACTTTTTTTAGGATTCAGAGGCGACATTTTATTTACAGTGCAACTGCTATAACTAGGGACACTAAGACAGTGAGAACCAATAACATTGTAGAATAAAAACAATACATTCCAACTTTGAGTAGTGGAGCCAATCAGAAAGCAGCAGACAACAATAGCTTTTCAACATATCTTTTTATTCCCACGAGAAAATGACGATGGCTATCATGGTCAAATTACGATTCTCGTGCAGCCTAGATTTCTGATTAGCTCCACTACCCAAAGATGGAATGCATTGTTTTCATTCTACATATTATCATCTTGTCTTATCTTGTCCAACTGGTCTAAGTGGCCCATGTTACAGTAGAGTGCGTTCAGTCAAACTGTCGAATAGTTGACGTCACCTAAATTAGATAAGTTAGTTACTATTTTAGCTGACGTCACCTAAATTTGAAACTACGAGTAAACAGCTACTGAGATCAGGGGGAGAAATGTTGGTTGATACAAATGAATGTCTATTCACTCATTCTCTGGCAAAACAACCCCCCGGATTAGCATGACCGTTATTTGGCGCGCTTTTACTATTTTAGGTGACGTCAACTAAATAGTTATCTAATTTAGATACATTTATCTAACTATTCAACAGTTTGACTGAATGCACTCTAGTTGCACTGTAATCATATTTTGGATAAAAATTCACTGGCTACAGATACATAATGAAGAGTAGATTTCATGCTAGTGAAAAATGATAGCAAGGTGAGTGTGGCCTAGTCACTGTACTGACGGTACCTCTCGACCGCTTTTTTCACAGTCGTGAAATCTCTTAGCCAAGTCATGAATTGTTTGATAATTGTTTTGGTTTGATACATGAAAAAGAATATTTAAGAGAGATTTTGTTCGGGGTAGTTTATCTTGACAATCCAATTTATTTATGTGTTTTCTATGGCGTGAGAATTGTGTCATAATGGTGCTTCAAAGCTGGAAGAAAAAAAAATTTAAAAAATAAACTCAAACTCCTTGATAAGCAGGATCGTTTTGTGTTGAATTAAAAGGACGAGGGAAAGAATTTAAGAAAAAGGGATACGTGGGAAAAGATAAAGCAATGAAGGAAAATACCAGAATACCAACATTGTATCCATAAAAAAGTACCACTATTTTTTACTAAATAGCACTGATGAAAGGATGTACGTTTTTATGTTTGCAAAATATATATTTAGTACTGCTTCCAAGAATAAGTTGAGCATACTCCAGGAAACGACGAACCAAAAATTTCCAACTTTTTTATATCAATCTCTTTTGCTGCATATAATAACTGACCATACTGAACTTATTTTTCTTCAAAAATATCACAAATTATCACTTAATTTGACACAAGTTTAGTCCCTTGCCATTAACGTGCCATAATTAACATTAATACGAGCATGGTGCTGGCGTCTTAATGCAGTAAGATAGATATAGGATGCCTTGTGAGTCTCGGATGTGATATTCAGATCTGAGAACACTTTTGATAATCCTGCGTTACGCGCCTTCTCCACCTCAACAAGAGCTTTGGCCTCAGCTTTAGCAATGATGACAGTAGAGGTGGCGGTGGAATTCTGTTGGATCTCTGCTGCTTCGTTCAGGATCTCGTTCTTCAGTCGATCCGTCTCCTTACGCACAACCTGTAAACGAAGAAACATAGCATGGAAAAATTCTTTCAGTTTCCTCTTCATTATTATGACTAGCCTGAATGCCACTCGTAACTTAAACAACTTGTACCCAAACTTAAGCTTTAGACGGAGGTGACTGAAATTCTGGGATTCCGGCAACAGTCAAAATTAGTGGGTTTTTTTAAACTGACGGGATCCAAGAAGGGTTCGCAGAAGGGTTTGCAACGCTAAACAATGTTGCAGGATATCCAAATGTTTGAACACCTTTTCTGCATTATTTTGAAAATTACACGTCCATTTTTTGTCATCGCCAAACACCACCGCAGAATGCGAAGTACACTGCGCATGACAGACGCTGCAATAGTGTGCAATTTTTCAAGCCTTCGACTCCAGCACTGAAGTTGTTTAACTGTGTCTGACAAAATGCCGGAAAAATCACTTTACCTGTTCCTCCAGTTCAAACTTGGCCTGTTGTTCTTGCTCTCTCTCCGTCACTTGCCTCAAATACCGACTCTTGACGTCCTCGTGAATGTCGAAGTTCAACAACTGGAAATATCTGACTTCAACGAACAGACCTTTGTCAGACTTGCTGCACTTGGAGTAAGGAATACAGCCCGGAGAACATTTGTGTGTTTTGCAGTCTTTCCTGCAACATTTGCCACCAAGTCTCTCGGCGACGGCTTTGAAGATTTCATTCTCGACAGTTTGGCGTTGCCTGAAATAAATGGAAAGGAGAAGGAGTTAGGCCAGAGAGAGAGAGAGAGAGAGAAAGAAAGGAGTAGAGATATGGAGGAAAGGCGGAACGAAGGAGGGGTAATATTTGCCAGAGACAAAGAGAGATGGGAAGGAAGGAAGGAGGGGAGGCTGTTTAGGCCAGAGACAGGGAGAGAGAAAGAGGGAAATCAAAGTGAGGAAGGGAGGAGGGTTTAGGCAAGAGAAGGGGAACGAAGAGAAACTAAGAGAGAGGGATGGGAGGGAGGAGGTGTTAGGAATATAAGAGGGATACTGATTTGCATAACACCCTTGTATTAGACAACTTACTTAATGAACTCCATGACACCTATGGACGACGTCCTTGCCTTTATAGCTGCATTAGCAGTAGACTGTACCACAGGTTTGTAGTACAGATCATATTCCTGATGAATATATTTCAAGTCTTCGGCTTTTAAGAAGTACTGGAAAGCACATGAGACTGTTGCCTCTATTTTATCGTTTGTAGCGATGGCGATGTCTTTTAAGTACTCAAAGTGCGCGTCAGCAGGGAACGCTTTGAAAGTGTAGTCTGGTCCGATGAGGTATCTACCTGATGCATAGACCCTGGACAGATCCACTTTGCCTGTTGACTTCTGTTTTGTGAATGCGATCTGCACAACAGAAAACAAAAAGTTAGCTATGGAACATTTCATTATGTAGCCCCCCGTACTTAACCCAAACATTTAGGAAAACATTGAGTGATGAGAGCGCGCGGCTTACTGTAATCGATTCCCTGTCTCCCTCTCCTTAAAAATCAACAGCTTTCACGTGTCTTGATTTAGCCTTTCAGGGTTTGAATTTTTTTCTTTTTTCTTTTTTCTTTTGGAAATACTTGAAAAATCTGAATCTGACGAAAAACAACTCCACTCACGTATATATTAGGCGGCCCACGTAATCCCCAGGGATCAACCATAAGTTAATTCAATATTTGGTCTTTCCTTAATAAGACATTTTCAATGTCAATTAGACACCACTGCATGATTTGGGATTAACTCTAACTCAATATTTGGTCAGTTCTTGTAAAATATTAAAAAACTTAAGGATCATTAGGATAAGGGGGGGGGGGGGGGGGGGGGGGAGATTGCGAAAGGAAACGACCCCCCCCTCCCCCACCTTGAAATTAATCTCAACCAAGGTGGCGTTTCCTGCTGAAATTTTCAAACTCTAAATATTCAACTCGCCTTGAAACAAACCTACGACTGCTCTCATTGTATTCTCTACTAGGAGAGTAGTATTTTCTCACCTCATAATATTCAACATTTCCGAAACTCATCGGCAGCAGAATGACCAGCAGGACTAAACCCAACGCCAGTACTCCGATAACACATCGCTTCGCTCCGGTCATAGAACCTCCGTCCTCCGAGTCCATCGCATACCCAGGTTCTTCAATTTCTAGCTTGCTCATATAAATCTCTTCAAGATTAACGCAAAGAAATACGAGTTGGCTCTTTGGATTGGTACAAAAAAAGAGCAAAACGAGGGGAATTAGAAGAGCAGAATGTTTACTAATGGTGGGATGGGCTTTATGACATCTGGTGGCGAGGTCACTGCAACATGGAATCCGTCACGCAATGCCTAACACCAAACACTAAAATATCTCCTAAAAGATTTCAAATCCTTCTATCATTTTAATTTCAAAGAACAAGTAAAAAATAACAGTTCGAATCCTGAATGAGAAACACCTTAACTCATACAATATAACATTCCAGGTACTTTTAATAGTGCATATATTATAACTATATACGGACCACTTTCCTATGACCGGAAAAAGGGAACTGAAATTAAACGTGCACCAGCGTGCATTTTTCCCTTGACCATTTCAGCAATGTAAATACTTAGTTCTTAAGCCTTCATACTTCTTTTCAGCTTTGAACAACAAACACCTAACGTTTTAAGTGCTTGGTAGCTGAAGGCACTGTTTGATGGCGAAATGTGTGGCTGAAACCTGAGCTCGACTGAGCGTTACGTTGCGCAACAACAACTTTCCGCTAACGAATGATAATTTGACTGATTCTTTTGAAACCCTGGGACGAAAGGATTAATTTGGGATTCTTTTGAGATATTGTGGGAAAAACGAGAATTCGTTTATTTTTCTAATTTTTTCAACATTTTTTACTACTAAATAAATTTCTGAATTTGCTTCTGCTTTTATTCTTTCTTTCCTTAATTTTATTTATTTCTTCAACACACTTGGCATTTACCATTTTCCATAAGTTGGTTCACTGGTGAAACGCAAAGCACTCAGCCAATGTTGCAAGGTTCAAATTTGAATAATCCTTTGCGAAAGTACCTTGGCGCCTCGCTTGAGCGCTTTGTGTTTGACCAATGAACCAATGAATGGAAAATGGTGAATATTCAACTGAAGGTGATCAGACCTATGCTAAGCTTTAGTGTCCAAAGCTTTTTGATTTAAAGTCAAAATCTTCTCTTCAGAATTGAAATCCTTTTGGTGTTGTCCTTTTCATTGACTTGACTCAAATTTAGAGATTTTGGTGCAAAGTCTGTATGATACATAATTAATTACTTTAAGGTGTGTCTACGTTGAAGTATTATTGTGGAGAAACGTTCCGGTTCTGCAGACATTTCCCGCCCAAAGTTAATGCGCGTCCACAGGTAGGGTGCATACTAGGATCGACAATAGATTTACTGCAAAAGAATTTAATCCCTTGCCATTAACGTGCCATAATTAACATTAATACGAGCATGGTGCTGGCGTCTTAATGCAGTAAGATAGATATAGGATGCCTTGTGAGTCTCAGATGTAATATTCAGATCTGAGAACACTTTTGATAATCCTGCGTTACGCGCCTTCTCCACCTCAACAAGAGCTTTGGCCTCAGCTTTAGCAATGATGACGGTAGAGGTGGCGGTGGAATTCTGTTGGATCTCTGCTGCTTCGTTCAGAATCTCGTTCTTCAGTCGATCCGTCTCCTTACGCACAACCTGCAAACGAAAAATTGTATTCAGGTCACTCGCTTTTTATATATGGTTGGTATCAGATGAGGCTGGGAAACACGTTGATTTTGCGCGCAGCAACAAGATTAGTGAAGAAATAGAAAACTTGCGCGTGCTGTGTGCAGTTATAAAGCACGCGGGATTGGTAGAACACGAGAGAAGTGGACAGCTATTATGCAGCGATGCACTAAGAGCATCAGATAATTTCCACGGTGACGTTGCAGAAGTAGAATTCCAATCTACGCCTGGAATGTTGGACGCAACAGTCACATCGTGTCATCATCGTCACTAGTAATAGTTTTTGCATCCGGCCCGAAACTTCGGCAGTCATGCCCAATGGTTTCTAACCTGTTTTTTTATCAGTGATAATGTTCCTTGCGCACGCGCGCTCCCCCTAACAGTAGGAAAGGTTATTACCTGTTCCTCCAGTTCAAACTTGGCCTGTTCTTCTTGTTCTCTCTCCGTCACTTGCCTCAAATACCGACTCTTGACGTCCTCGTGAATGTCGAAGTTCAACAACTGGAAATATCTAACTTCAACGAACAGACCTTTGTCAGACTTGCTGCACTTGGAGTAAGGAATACAGCCCGGGGAACATTTGTGTGTTTTGCAGTCTTTCCTGCAACATTTGCCACCAAGTCTCTCGGCGACGGCTTTGAAGATTTTGTTCTCGACGGATTGACGTTGCCTTCAAATGTAAGAAATCGAGTCGTGAAGTAAGCGATCGTACTTGACTTCAGGTAGTAATTTCTATTAGGCAGAATAGCTAAGTGCTTGGGTCATTCTTTACTAAGAAGCATCGTGTAGCACTATTAAACTGGCTCCATGAAGGACTGTTAAGATCCCCCCCCCCCCCTTCACCATCCCTTACTGAGCCCTTATCAGATTCCCCAAATCAACCCCCCTCCAAAACCCTGTCCTACTCCAGGAAAGCCTGACCCACACCACGATCGAAACAAGCGTTACCTCATGAACTCCGCTACAGATATGGAAGCTGCCCGTGATTTGATGGCCGCATTGACAGTAGACTGAACCACAGGCTTGTAATAGAGATCAAATTCCTGGTGAAGATCACTCAAGTCTTCGGGTCTCAAGAAGTACTGTATAGAACACGAGATGGTCACTTCTACTTTATCGTCTGTATACGTTGCGATGTCTTTTAAGTGCTCAACGTGCGCGTCAGCACGAAACGCCTTGAAAGTGTAGTCTGGTCCGATGAGGTATCTACCTGATGTATAGACCCTGGACAGATCCACTTTGCCTGTTGACTTCTGTTTTGTGAATGCGATCTGCCCAACAAAGAAGGCATGAAGTTAGCTATGGAACATTTCTTACGTAGCCATAAGCACCGTTAACCCAAACATCATGAAAACACGCGCGGTACGGCTCGCCTCCCACCAATGCGCACAGGACAGATCGACCTTGCCCGCGGTTGATTTTTGTTTTCTGAATGCTATCTATAAGAATAAGATTAGCATAAGAAAAGATCGATTCTTGTAAGGCAACCATGCAAGTCCTTGTTCAAGTYCTTGAAAATGCTAGTGCATGAAGGACGTTACTGATGAGCGAGTATTTGACTGATTGACGGCCGYAGAATGAAATGATTCAATGCTGGTTCTCGGCTTGAGAACGAAACAACGTTTTTTGCTAACCAGCTGATGTCCATGGATGCGAATATCGATCGTGGTCTAATGTCCAACAAAAACGAACAAAGCACCGAACTATATAAACATGCCGGTGTGGAGAACACTGGCTGGGGTCGCTGACTATCTAGTTCAAAGCCGTTTTACGACTTCAGCAAGCCTCGCGCGAAACGTTCTTATTTTCCTTTCCACTGATATTTGATCACAACGGAAAAACTTATCAGTTTCTCGATCGTTTGCGCTTTGTTACTGAAAGTATTTAGAAAAGACTGCTTCATAAGAGCACAAACTAAACTTATAAATCATTAATCGATTTTCATTTACTTTTCTCGTTGAACAAACACACTACTKGCTTTCAGGCGAAGTTATTACCTATTACATTTGTCACGATCACCTGTTACAATTWCCTGATAATATTCAACGTCTCCAAAGCTCATAGGTAGGACAACGACCAACAGAAACGCACCTATACAACAGACGACGGCCAAAGCTTTGTAACCTGTTGAAAGCTCTGAAAAATCAGGCATAGTGGCTTCTGGTCGTTGTAGTTCGCGAGTAAATCCTTCGCTTGGTCTGACAAGTTTAACGTTCAACAATTCGCACGAAGCAGAAGTTAGATACTCTGCATGGACTGCGAATATATTGTTTTGCTATAGTCAAAGTGATTAGCTAGTATGCAAATTTTATTTCACCTGGGTCGGGGTGGGCTTGGTATTCAACGTAAAATTTTGTCGTGATGCTAAATAAAGTATAAGCATAAATGTATGAACCCTGAAACAACCTCTGGGTTGATCTAAGTCAGGGCACGGCTAACTCAAAGTTCGAATCCTGAAAATTCAACCTCTGGGATGATCTAGGTCAGGGCACGGCTAAATAACTCACACAGGTATTTGGAGTCGGTTAACTTTATTTTCTAATTTCGAAGCATAAAATTGCCCGTTTTTCTGTCTTGCGGTGACATGRCTTCTAAAAGAGGTGTGCCTTTCCCCCCCGGTTTCAGTTTAAGGTGTCACGCAAGAAGAGGCAGGTAGTTAACAAAGCATGATCGGATTAAATTCTCAAAACAATGTCAAGTTCACTTATTTTTTGTACATATTGTAAATATTATTTAGACATTATTAACAGTTGCAGATGTTGGAAGGAAAACAAAATTCGAGCGAGGAAAACGCAATTAGGACAGGTTGCAAATAAACACTCACACTATTAACTGTTCAAATAAGATGTTTTCTCTGACGTCATTCAAATGCCAATCACTCCAAAAGTGTTGAAACAAAAGCCTCACCCTTCACCCAAAAATCTCTTCCGTCACGCATTTTTTCAGGGCTCATTTATATTCTAAGCCATCATCTGCACGGACCCGCTGTGACTGCATCATAATTATAAGCTCTTAAGCCTGAAAGTTTTCATTYCTCTTTGAGTTCAGTCTCGTCTTAGTTTGGTCTATAATCTCGCTGTATAAGTAAAAAGCGATGGGTTGGAAGGTTTACTTGTGTGTTGGTGGTACTGTTGCTGTCCTAGCCGTGACCATTGGTCTGATCGCCTCTTCTCTGTCAAGACTTGACTCGGATGAAAGTAAGTATCTGAATCAAGGCTGAATTGTTCCATTAGATCAASTTTACACGAAAGCTTTCGATATATAGGCAGTTGCATTTACAGAGTCAGCATCCAGGGCGGGACAAAATACGATAATTTTCTGGTTTACGTATCAAAAGCATCACATTAGATGGATTTTAATATCCTTCTCAATCTTTGCACCAGCAGTATGAATATGAATAAGTTCAGTGGAATTAAGACACATTTGTTTAGGAGCTTTACGAAAGCTAGCTTTACATTATACTAAAAGACCCGTAAAAGATGTGCAGTACTGATCAGAGGTCAGCAATTGTTGTGCAAATAAGTCGACTTCCGGGGAGGGGGGGGGGATGGAGTAGGGGTTAGAAGAGTAAGTTGAATATGGTTTAAATAATGGGAATTTCGTATAATGGTGTTCTTCAAAGTTAGTTGTTAGTAATATACGAATAACTCGCAAGCTGACTACATCAGTCCGTTTTCATKAACATGCTGTAGTTAGCATTATACGAGCATGGTGCTGTGCAATGCCTTGWRAGTCTCGGATGTGATATTACGTGCCTTCTCTACCCCAACAAGAGCTTTGGCCTCAGCTTTAGCAATGATGACACCGTATTATATTTTTACATGCAGTTTCTGATAATGCCACCAAAATGCTAAATGTCTTTTAAAACAATTTTGTGTCGTCATTACTTCTGTACCCTATTCCTATTCCCCTTATCAAACCAAGCTGTACCTTAAGAGATCAACACTGCCCGTTGACTTCTGTTTTTTTTTTCACTGCAATCTGAAAGACAACTGATGTATTTCAAGAATAAGTCCTAAGATTTTCCAGTAAAACTCTTTTTCTTATAGGTCATTTCCTGGCATATACACGAGATATTTATTAGGTACTGTAGTATCGTGTTATGTTTTCAATTTGGTAAATCTGCCAACATAGCTATACTAGGTTTAACTGTCTATTCTGTCGTGTCAGTCAGTCGTACAGTTTTTTCAGTTTTACAACTTTTTAAATAAGTATCGCTTCTCACCTGATAATATTTGTCTTTCCTAAAACCCAGAGGTATRATAATGAACCATAGAAAAGCAGCAATCACGAGGAAGAACAAGATAAGAGCTTTCACGATTCGATTTTTTGAACAAGTACTCCTTGAAAAATGGAAATGTGCCATGTCGGTACAAGATGCTAACGGTGTTTGTCTGGTATATCGAAGTTTACCATGACAGGTCACCAATTGATACTCTACGTGTGATGTGCCAACCAGAGCTATTGGCTAATGAAACAAAAAGATCGCTTGTCTTAATGTTGGCAAATTTGAATGAGAAAAGATTCCTGGCATCAATGTTTCATGGTAAACAGTGAATATCTGCTTCACATGAATGATATATATATTGCAGTTGTCAGTGAATTCGCAGAGTCTGGCATTCAGGGCGTGACATTCGATGGATTTTAATATCATTCTCAATCGTTCCACCAGCAGTATAAATATGAATAATTTCAGTGGGATTAAGAAGCCTTTGTTTAGGAACTTTACATTTACATTTAAGCAATAGAAAACTTTTTCCGTGTTTACATAGCCTGATAGCAACACGAGGGGAGGTTGGGAGAATT